ATACTGGGCTTTGCAAGCAAACTAGTTCTCCCAGCATGCCATTTGTTGCTCTCCACCATTTGTTTGCTCTTGCCATCTTATTCACTTTGAAATGTTCCCACCTACATTTACAAAAGATCAGCTTTGATAATGTCTGTGATTTACTCATGCACTCATATCTCTTATTCTAAAGGGTATTCAAGAAGTCCAGTCCAAATTGCAAGGTAAGATGTTTTTATATATCACAGAGTCACAGTTTTGGTTTCCACAAGTTGTTGTGGAACAACACCTTGTCTGTTTTCACAGCTTACAGTATATTTGGGGAAAAGAGATTTTGTGGACCATCTAGATCATGTGGACCCTGTTGGTTAGTGGTTTCAGATAAAACAGTTCAATTGAATTTAAATGGAGAAGTGAAAGTCTACTAGTGAAAGTTCACTGACATAAATCATATATACTTCTGCTACAGATGGCGTGATTCTGGTCGAACCTGAATATCTCAAAGATAGAAAAGGTGAGCCAGAAAGCATCTTTGTTATTTGGTATGAATGCCTTGAAATTACAATTCTGGACAAGACCTTTAAGTTAATAATGATCATCATGTAAGGACTGGTAACCAGTAAACTGCAGATATTAAAATTGCATCTGAATGATAATAATAATAATAAAAAAAACACTAAAAATGAAAATCAGTAAATTAGTTGCTAGAATTTCTGCATTTCAACATTATAATTTACAGCATGAAAAATGGATATTTATTTTGAGATTTATCATCTAAAAATTACAACAGTATCATTAAATTATTACTTTTTAAAGTTTCAAGTGAGCATTAGATGATGGCAAAGGTAATCTAAATGTAAATACAAGGAAATGAGCATGCACAATTCAATTATATGATACCAATATATCGTGCATCCCTACTGTTTGGTTTTCCAGTTGATGAACTGAAGCTTATCTCATATAGAGTGTTTTTCTATACTTTATGACAACTTACTTCACATCATATGCAAATGATGTCTTCGCTTCTGGTGTTTCTGTTATAATCTCTAAAACTTTATTTGTTTTTCCTCCAGTATTTGTGACCTTAACCTGTGCTTTCCGGTATGGCCGTGAGGACCTTGACGTTCTAGGGCTCTCCTTCCGAAAAGATCTTTACATCTACACTTTTCAGGCCTATCCTCTCATTCCAGGGGAATCCAAACCCAACAGTCGTCTGCAGGAGAGGCTTTTGAAGAAACTAGGACAGAATGCCTATCCTTTCCATTTCAGTGTGAGTTTCTACCTGATAGTTGTTGTTTTTTTGCATCTTTTAAATAATGATGTTGTGATGCTTAAATTTACTTGTAACATTTCAATTGCAATTAAATTATTTTTTTTTTTAGTATTTGCTTTCTAATTATTATTTGATGTATTTATGTTGTGATTTATTAAGACAAAATAGTGGACATTTTAAAAATTAGTCATTACATTACATGAAATGGTAGATTTTCTGTTTTTATTTTAAGACAAAATAATATGAATTTTATAATATTGGCCATTTATCAGTTATAAGGTGAAAATAAATATCGGTATGGTACGTTACGTTAACTTTAATGTACTTTTTTTTTTTAAATAGGAAGTACTTGATTATCAGATACTTAAGCTGATATATTCTTCTGTTTTTCAGATACCGCAAAACTTGCCATGCTCTGTTACTCTGCAGCCTGGGCCTGAGGACACAGGAAAGGTATTATCACTCATACAAGGCTCATTTTAACACCTTTAGATTTGTCACCTAATTTTGCACACATCCTGTTTGTGAAGCTTTGGCGGACTTGTCCTTTGCTCACCTCCGTCTTTCTCACTCCAGGCCTGTGGTGTGGATTTTGAGATCA